CTCACGCTAGGCGACCGGTTGACAAATGGGGGGATTACTGAGTTCAGAAGAGTTCAGCAGAGAAAAAAAATGTATTCGATTAGTTGAGAAGTACAAAATAACACATTGGGAAGAAGATGCAGGAAGCCAGGTTTGTTTTTCTGCACCCATTAAAGACAACCAATGGAAACTATAAGAAATAACCATCAAAGGTAATGTTTTTAAGACTTAATTTAAGTATTTTTAATAATCAAAAAACATATATTTTATTAAATTCTTATGATTTTACTTTTTGCTCTAAATATTACTTTACTTTAAATCTAATCTGCATTCATTTTGTTATATCTGTAATTAATATTGATATTTATCAATCAAAATCACCTATCAGGTGCAAAAAGCGATTAAATTGTTATCTTTCTATTTGACCTAAATGATTATAGGTGTTTGAAAGACGAAAATGTATGAAAATATTCAGGAAGAACAATAAAAAATAGAAAATAGAAACAATACAAAATGTCAAATATTTAGCTTTAAATCTGGTTTTTGATACAATATTCCTAAGAAACTATAATGATATGTAAGGTTATTTATTTTCTATGTAATTTCCCAAAAATATTTGCCACACATTACTATTTTTTTAAGCACATTTTTTGTTAGTGCCCCTGGGCAGCCAAGAAAGTGAGCTGCCAAAATAGCATAATCTCTGCCTGCACTCGCACTTGACTTGATTTGACTTCCCCTGCCCGATAATGGGCACAGCTCACGCGAGGTTGGTGGAGGGGGAGAATAGAGGGGGGAGCAAGAAGATTGGGGGTGGGAAAGAGGCCTAGTGACAGGCGGTAAGCGGTGAGCGGTAAGCGGTTAGGTTGACAGCTGACTGGCTTGCAGTTGACTGACTTCTTATCTCCTGCCCCGCGGCAGCTGAATGTGTCAGCTATGTTCGCGCCTCTGGAAATCCTTCCGTCGCTCTTACGCTGACATTGAATATAAAAATATCGGTAGTACATAACGCTTCCCTATTAAATATGCAATAAATAATAATGTGCGATGTGAGCAATATTCTGTGCTTAGTCACGGCATAAATTCAGTTGTCCGGGAGCGCATTATAAATGACTCAAGCTTATGGTTTCTGATAAATGGTAGTGGAGAAAAGTGCAAGGAAACTGATATTGACAGCGCTGACATTTGCAAGAAACTTATTGCTCAATAAATTAGATATTAAAGTGGGATTTCTCTTTTGGAATTTCCCAAAAGATAATAGTTTTGTTAATGTTTTTCAAGATGTGTTCGTTTATGTGTACGTCAGCAAATGAAGATCTAATACGCATTTGATTTATCTCACTTTTACTATCTGTTTTTACCACTTCGGGTGCGGTAATTCTCCAGACCAACGAAAGTCATAACTTAAACTAAATAAAATAAAACTAAAACCCAAACAGTTGGCACCCAATTGGGGCACATAACATTTACGTATGCATCACCATCACGATGATTTAAGCATTTTATCCTGCAACATCGTGCCGCACGCCACAAGGCTGGCCGGGACTATAAATTTAAATGGCCATTTCCAGTGTGGCAAAATGGATAATAACCCATTTGATGTACGGACACACTTTTTCCATTAAAGCCAAATACAATGCGATGCTCGCGCACCGGAAAAATATGGCCTACAAGGCGTCGCGAAAGGAAGGCGGGGCGTCCGGGGCCGGGATTATATGTGGCAGGACTTAAACACTTTAACACCCGCAACTTATGGCAAACACACACTCACACATATTACGCATACGCACGATAGGCCCATAAAAATCATGGCGATTGTTAACTGTTTTTAATTGAAATCGTGTAGAGCGGTATTAACGGGTAGAAGTTATTTGCTTATTTTATTGGTAACGGATATTCTCGTTCGTTACGTATACGCCCAAGCGGCGCTTAAACTTGGTTATTAAAAAAACAAATTCTAATCCTTTTTAATTTAAAAAAAGTTTGTTATCTATTAACGATACTCTATAAAGAGTTTAGAAGTTAGTCCTTCTCATTCTTTTTCAGAAGCTTGCATGTTACGTATACGTGTTGTGTTTTTATTTGTAAAATAATTTCCACTTAATACGCATACGCACAGAGTTCATTCTAAAATTATAAATAGTTTTTAATTACTTCAGATCTTATTCTGCAACTCATAAAACGGTTAATTTCCATTTCAAATGTTTTAAATAGAAATCATGTCAATGTCCTATCACTTTTTTTATCAAATGCGGTGCGATAATTTCGTCACTTGCTGGCAAAACTCATTTGCAACTCAATTTCCTCTCGAAATTCAATCAAACCCGTCTACAGGCCGTCAATTATGACATTATCACGAACAGAAAACTAAGTTCCAACTTTTCTCCATCCCCTCCCTGTAGTCTATGCTCGAAACATTGTCCCAATTACAAACTGGGTCTGTGTGTGCGTTTATCTATATCTATATATGTTCGTATATATACGCTACCGCTTGCTGCCGCTGGTGCTGCAAGTTGTTGTTGGAAGCGTTCCTTCTAATTTGCATGCCCCTGCTCACATTGCCCTGTAATTGAATTAGTTTTAATGCGATATTGTGGTGCGATAAAGCCGACACCCAGATAGCGCTCTTTATTCGTTTATGAACGGTCATTTATCAATTGCAACTCGCACAATTCACTTGCAATTACCCAAACAAAAGGTACACCAACAACAACAAAAAGACACACACTTGGAAAATCGAAAGATATATCTTTCTGGGAAAAACATAAAAACAGAGAGTCAAAAACATAGAAAAAAGAGCAGTTACTGCGGAGAAAACGGAAAATACGTTTTGTATTCTGCAGATAATTTAAGAGATTTGTTTGGCATTTCCTTTGCTTTTAAAAAATAAACAATAATAAATTTTCTTAATTCTAAAAATTGCTAATATTTAAGAGTGTTTTTAAAATGTTTTGTAAACTTGTTTTGCCTTTATTTGTTTTTTATTTTTATGGATTGTTTACTTTCTTGATTACAACAAATGTGTTCTATTTTTTATTTAAATGCTTTTTGTTTATAAACTGTAAAATTATTAAAAACATATATCACATATCTTTAGTATAATTAACCTTTTTTACTTGAACAAAAAATATAGTACACATTTTTTAAATTGAACTACAAACTTTCTGTTTTTCTTTTCCAAGAAATTTAAGAGAATAATTTCCAAATAATCAGCTTACAAAACATATTGTTAAGTAAATATGTTCTTAAATTAAACATTTCCTTTTTTTAAACATTTTAAAACACATTTTGTAGTGTATTTTGTTTGCTAGCTGCTTAGTGTCACTATTTAACATGTTTTCATTTTGTTGAAATTAATTTGCACTGCACTTTGCGGTTACCCCGCGACTACCCCCTTTGGATCAGCTCAGATCCCATGGATTTGTGTGACATGCGGTGATAAAAAGCTAATCAGGCTGCTGCACTCGTTACCTGGTTGATCCACCTGTGCGGCGGAACAGGTGCAAGAGATGCGATTGCAGCGGAATTCCCTTAGAGCGCGCTGTTTGCCTCGGCAATCAGAATTCGGGAAGCGGACTCGGAATCGCAGCGTTCTCGACGCGTCACATGAACTTTTCAGACTGAGCGGCAAGTCGGAAGCGAGTGGCCAGCCGAGCCAAAAAAATAGTATGTAAAAAATGAGAGCAGAGCGGCCAAAGAAAGTCGACGCCGATGCCGACGCCAACGCTGCCGGTCGCCGGTAACAGAAGCAGCGGCAGCGGCTGAGATAGTACACGTAGCTAAAGTGGGCGCATGTAAAAGGGGGGGTAGGGAACCCGAGCGTGGGCGTGCTCCGATGAACATCCACTCGGAATCGCAATCGGGAACCGAGTGAGTGAGTGAAAACGAAAGCGGAACAAAGTAGTCGCAACTGAAAAACACTAAATGAGGTGGTAAATCATAGATTTTAATCCCAAAATATTTCAAACAATAAAATTAAGATGTAAACTTTAGAGAATTCATTAGTATTTTAACATGTAAATGTAAATAAAATAATAAACTAAACTAAACATAGAATCATAACATGACCGTAAGCAAGTGTTTTCCCATAAATTGTTGTCCAAAAATCAACAAATAAGATTATAAAGTTTAATTACTCTGAAATAAATATTTTTTAATAAACAAAAAATGTTAAATACAAACTTTCTGTATTTATAAATTGATTATAATTGTACTCCCTTGTTAATAAAAACCCCTAAAATTGTTTACTTAAGCAAAGAAAATGATGCACTCTTTCAAAATATTGAATGTTTAACACTGAAGGCAGCATAAAGCGGATGGAACCAACTAAATCGGGAAGTGACCATAAATCAATGGATTCGTTATATTCTCCTTGGCAAACAGTTTTTAAGAATTGAAAACAATCGAAAGTGATTGCTACAAATTAACCGAAGTTAAACAAATAAACAACAAACTAATATAAAAAGAAAATTCAAAAATATTTAAAAAAGAGTGAAAACACAATTAATATAAGCGTCACAAAACTATTTACAGCAGTAGCTGAAATTAAATAAAATATATATATGTAAACAAAACGGAATACTAAATATATTTTCCACTCAAAAACTATTCAATTTTAAATAGAAATGAGCGCAAGATAAATTCACATACTATTTACTGTTTGCACATGAATTCGCAGACAAACATGCTCTTAGTTTCCACAATGTAGTAGCGAAATTTAATTAAACAATCGTTTTATGGCGCAGATACACAACCGCACATGTTTAAGTACATCTGACCCGCAAAGGCAATCAAAAACTTTTGAGGTAGCAAAACACATAAAAATCAAATGGAAAACCCAATCCATCAGTGGATGAAAGCAGACGTTTTCCGGCTTTATAGCACGCGTATGTTAATCGTTTTTGGACGCTGCCTCGTATTATATAGACTTTCTTGGATTTTCCACATTTACCTTATAATTTCCCTTGCCCATCTCAAATCCAATATTATCCAAGTAATAGTTTAAAAAAGTATTTTTTTTAAAAGCATTTTTAATAAATTTTATGTAATTTATGTTTACAAAATCACATTTGGCGTCGATCCACTTTTCGCCCTTTGTAGTTTCTGTTTTTCGTATTTTTCTGTTTTTGGTATTGAAAGCCGAATTGTTCAACAAATTTAACTGGTATATTAAATAAAGCTAATGACTACGTTTAAGGTTAGGCACTGTTGAAAATGTCGTATCTCCTAACTGAAGAAGTACACTGAGTCGAGTACGTTGCGCAGGTCAAAATCTCCCTTTTGTGGCAGTTGCTTAAGTGTACGGTTCAGCTGGCGCTTGGACAGATCCTCCACGGAGCCATCGTTTGTGAAGTCACTAAATGAGTAAGATATTTATGTTAGTTATGAAAGTTAATTTATATTTAAAGTCCTATCACTTACCTATCTTGATAGCTGTAAGTCTGACGCATAAACTCAGATAGCTGCTCCAGAATGGGTTGCGAGTGCAGGGCAACAAACTGCTCCCGACACATCCGATTCAGATCTGGCACAGCATTGGCGTGAGTCCAAAAACAGTCGTGTACGGAAACGAATGTAATGCCTTGCCTTTCGCAGTGTAGCGAGGTGAGCATCATGTGCGAGGAATCCAGCGAATGGATGAAGTTCGGCGGGAAAGCATTCTTTTGCTTCAGAATGTTTGGTCTCTCGTACATGTCCATCGGCTGGTTTGCTGTTACCTTAAACCCGGTGCGAGGGGAGTGTTTCATCTCTTGACGATTGTAGGGCTGAACTACCGGCAGACCCAGTGGCGTTACCCACTCCACGTTCTGACTACAAACACCGGAAATCAGACGGGCGCACTCCGTGAACCAATCCTGAATTTCTCTCGTCGATGTGAACATTTCTCGCAGGCTCTCAAAAGTCTTTGTTGTAAGGTATGTGGACGCCGGCCACACCCAATCCTTGGGGAACTCATCAATGTCTTTAAGTTGGCGTGCTATCTGCAATCTGGCTCCATAACGCGTCACTCCATAAACTGTGGTCATCACTGTTTGCTTGATCACCTTGCGACGCACAAATCCGGCTAGTGCTTCTGCCACGTGTAGTCCGTTTTGGGCATCGGTTTTTCTACTCCTCTCCACCAACGTAGCCACTGCACTGTAAACATCCTGGGGAACGGCCGATGGTGCTAGGTTAACACTACAAGCACCAGCTTCATCTCTACCCAAAGCTGCATAATGCTGCAATCCATTGCAAGATCCATCCTGGTGGATAGGGAACCGACTTAGATAGGCAGCGGGATCGGGACAGCGATGCACGTTGGCGATTTCCATGCAGCAGGCTAGCGTTTGCCATGGTTCATCTGATTTGGCCCACCACATACGCCCCTTAAGCGGATTGTCCGCAGAGTCCAGTATATCTGGCATTATTTCTTCCGCATACAACAGACGTTCCCTTACAGAGTCCCGCTTCTTCAGACCAGTCAAATTGATGCAATGCAGCTTCAGCCAACTGAAACCATCAACACCCAGGGGTTGGGCTTGATCAAAGATAAGCATCGAGCGAGCCAAATCAGAGCCCAAGTGATTGAGATGCGGTGGTACAGGATATACACGTCCGCGGAAGTCCATGTTGTGCGGCAGCCAGAAGACTTTATCGCGGTACTAAAACATAAAACATTAATAATGTTAATGAATTAAATATTCCATTAAGAATAGTTACATGCTGGGCCAATGACAGCCTATAGAGAGCATCGCACCACAAGCTGTACATCTCGGCCTGCTTTCTTCGATGGCCAAGCTTATCCCGGAATTCCTTAGCACGATCTGCATTTGAGGTAGCGTTGCCATCAACATCTTTAGTTGGCAACGTTGGAAGTGGGGGCAGAGAACTGGGCGGTTGAGGAACATCCAACTTCGCATCGCCACCATTTTGGAACACCTCAATAATCACATCCAACAGCTGCGTGTTTACCCGCCAAGGTACACTGGCCAACTGATTCAGAGAGTCCAGAGCAGGATAGAGATGTTGTGGGTTGGAAGCGTTAATCCGGTCCCATTGTTGAATGGCTTGGTGAGGCAGGCGGATCAATTCAGACTTGTTAAGAAGGTAGCCACCATTATGAGGAGTACTCCAGGGTTGCGGAGGACATAGCATGGGCACCAAATTTGAATCGAACGTAAGTGTCTGCTGGCGTGAGGCTCGGAATAATCTGGAGAGAACAGGATGTGGCTTAACTTCTTCTTTAACAAAACGTCCCTGATTGCGGAAGAGTGTGTAGAAGGCGGGCAAAAGATTTTGTGGCTGAGAAGCCGCTTTGGTTTTGCTCTTCAGCCTCATCACATGAGCGTCGATCTTGATGTCCCGCATCAGAATGTTGTACAAAAAGCGTCCCACTCCGGTCAAGACCGTTGAAGGCCATGGCACCTCTGGTAGATCCATGCTAGGCCCACTCTCTCGCTGATCATGCACAAGGCGCTGCCACGCCTGCCTTGTGTTATCCTGAGACTTTCCGCTGTCCCACAGATCGCAGTATGAACTATATATTTCCCCAATCTTCTCTAGCGTGCCATTGTGTTTCTTCTGCTCAATTTGGTATCTCTGTTGTACCTTCTGGCCAAGCTCTTTGTACAGCTGACCCACCGTTGGACTAAATGTTTCTGATCCCTCGGCCAGCTTATACAGTTCCTTGATCAGAATGTCTGCAAAGTGCGAAGTATCCAGTGTCTTCAGATATGTATAGTAATTCATGAAGCCATGTGGCTTGAAGCGCACCTGGGCGCGCAGCGTATTGAGATCCCGCACAATGGCCGATGAAATTTGTTTGCGCCAAGTTTCCTCTAGTTCCTTAAGACGTTCCCGCTGAAAAGGATTTTTATAATAAGGGAAAAATAAATGTTAACTTGTTTAATGTAACTTACGCATTTCTCAGAATTGGCGAACTCCTTGGATTTCTCGATTGACTTTATGGTAATGCTGCCATCCAATTCGATTTTGAGCTGCTCCCTTGCAAGCTGCTCCAGTTGAGCTGTGGTGTAGCCACGCTTGGAGTTCATTATAGCATAATCTAAGTCCTTCTTTCCTGGGCTTTTCTCGGCTCCAACAGGTAAAACATGCTCGTTGAGATGATCCAACAGTACATTGTCGTAACCCAGCTGAGGTGGTACATAGACAGGCTTAAATTTCGGTCGAATACGTCGAATAGCATCCAAAGCAATATCCCTCTGATCGGCTACAAATTTTGACCTATCCATGATTCGATTTAAACTGAATCCCTCTTCCTCAGCTTGAGCTATATATTTGGATATGAGTTGCTGGTTTTGCTCATCTGATTCCAGACGCCCCAAGCACTCGAAAATAGCTGCATAACTTTGCTCGTTGAACGTCAGACCATCCTCCTCGATAAGCTTAAAAAGCTCCTGCGATCGATCAAAGGATCCCTTGCCAGCATAACCGTGCAGAAGGATATTGTACAGGTCGATGGTGATGAGGTCTTCGTTCATATGAGGCAAGGTACTCTTTTTCACTCTTCCCCGATAGGCAATGATGGTGGACAGGGCGCGACTTAACATGTTGGCTGAAACACAAACGTGCAGGTAGGTGTTTAAGTTCATATGCAGTGCCCGCTGTTTGGCCAACCGCTCTTGCTCCTCGTTTAACGTGAATCTTAGACTTGAAGCTAAAAAGGTGAAGGATAAGAATTAGCCATTTGCTTTTAAAATCTTAGCAAAATAAAGTTACCGTTTTTTGGACTTGGTTGTGACTGCACTAGCGTTAGGCATGGACACGGCAGTTACAGCAGGTTTGCTCTTTTCCAGAGGATTAATGTACGGCTCAATAGCTTCGAAAGGATCTAGGACTTCAGAATCTTCAGCCAGCACTTTGGGGCTAGTCAGCCTAGAATATTGAAATATAATTTAGTTAATCTTAAGTAATTCAAATTAGTAAAAAATCTGCTAGTATTAGTCATACCCAAAATCCACTTCGTGTTGATCATTTCCCATGCTCTCGATGATATCCCGAAAGTTGTGAAAGCTTTTGAGAATATTTTGAACCTCTTCGGGATTGGATATGACCTGTTTAGTGTACTCATCCTTTCCGAAGAAGAGCAGAGGCCGATCATCGTATATACCGGATTCCAGAACAGAACAATTTAATGCCTCCATATCGACTTTTTGATACTCCACAGGCTGACGCTGCATAAGGTCCAATATGCCTTTGGTCTTCTTATCTTTGCGATCAGCACGGGCCCGCCTTTCTAGGATTTGTTGCTGGGCTTTCTGTATAAAGTCGGCTAGTTTTTTAGACTTGAGTCGCTTAACCCGCGATCTTCGTTCGCTGATTGCTTGTTCGGTAACTAAAGAGGGGATAATGGATGATGTCAGCCTGTGAATTGCTTTAATTTCTATCTAGGACTCACCCTCCAGGAGTTCCACATATTTAGCATAGCGCGGCTTGCGCAATCGTTTTTTTTTCGCCTGGGCCAGTGCATCTGCCTGTGTGGGTGTTGTTGTTTGCGTGCGTATAGTTGTTGTTGTGGCTGCTGTTATTGTCGCTGCAATTGGAAAGCACATGTCGCATTGGTATAACTGCCTTTAACACTTTTCATTATCATAACTCACCTGCCGGTGTTTGGCGGTATAGCATTTGATAATACTGCTGATAATGGATGAAATTTGAAGGCGCATTTCCACCGCCGCAGCACACCGTTGTTGTTGTGTGGGCGGTGGGTGGCACTCGCAGTGCTTTTTGCACGGCTACAGCTCGATTTGCACCCAACAAACGATACATTTCAATGAATTGCTGCTAAGGGCACTCGTTCCACATAAATGTCATCAAATTAACGCAGTATTCGGCACTTTTCACACAGCATTTGTTGCATAATTACACACGGATTCCGTCCGCTTTGTTGTTTATTTCCCGCACTTCACGTGTGGCGGCCACAAGCAGTATTACCACTGCTGTATTAGCACTGCTTGCTCTCCTGAACAGCTGTTTGTTATATCAGGGCTGGCAAAAAATACAACTTACAAATATACTAGAAAATACTTTTTTGGGTGGTTTATTTATAAGCAGTAGAAAATATGTTACGTTTAAGATTTATAACTTTGAATTTAAAATAAAACAGTACTAAAAGTAATAGAACAAATTATTATACTCGTCGTCTTTCGGGATATTATTTAAGGTAAGTAATGGTCCTGGATCGTTTTACCGCTACCTTTCCGATACAGTTCAAAAATAAACACAATTCAAAAGTTTCATGAAAAATGCCGCCAAAAAAGGCAAAGAAGGGGGCTGCGGCGACTAAAAAAGATGAGGACCTTGGGCCGCATCCGCAGCCACCGAATGTTTTTCTGTACATCCAGTTAGCTAAAATCGCAAACCTGCCCGAAACTAAACATCTGCTGGAGATTCACATAAGCCAGGGTGAAAGTTTGATCGTGAAATGTGATGAGCACTACAACACTGATGGTATAATAATTCAGGATGAATTCTATTCGAGGCCTACGTTCACGCTGATCTTCCAGCAGGACAATGTGGATAGGATCAATCATGCGGCAGATAATCCTCTCCTGATTAAGCTCTACTTGCGGGAGCTACCGCCAAAGAAAGACTTTCAAGTGGAGTATGAAATGGGCGAGGAGGAGGAAGAGGAGGCGCTTGATCTGCTGGGGGATATCGATTCCGATCTCGGTATATCTACGGGAAAAACAACAAACTACGATGATGATTATGAGGCCAGGGAGACGATCAAATTGGAACTACTATGTGTTGGTTATCTGGATGTGATAAAATTGTTTGGCCACCGACGCAGTATGATCAGTGAAGAACTCTTCCTTTACCCAATGCCGGATGTATCCACCGAGCTGCGAACCACTGTTCACACGGAATGGCATCTCTACACCCTCCTGCCAATTGCCAAAAAGCTGATCTTTACCAACATGTCCTTTGTGACGTTGGAGAGCATTTACAACCTGAAGGAAGAGTACATATTGGACCTACCATCCTTGTGGGTGAGGGTGAGTTTCCGTTCCCGCTTTCCCAGTGATCGGAATGAATATACTTTTATACCGCTCTGTGAATTTGGGAATCTGGAGCGGAAGGTCATCAGCATGCAGGACAATCATCATGTCTTCGAGTCCTTTCGGCGCAGCGTGGAACCTTGGAATGTAACCGGATTGAAGTCTTCTATGGAGGTGGAAATGCATAGACTCTTCTCAGAATTGCTTTGTACCGAGGGCATGACAGTGGACTTTGAGGCAATCGACCCATCTTTGGATGATGCTCTAGTCTGTAACTCTTTCCACCGTTTTATTCTTACTCAAAAATTGGCAGATATCCTTTCGTATGTCATCACTTGTCAGCAGTATGTCCTGGCCGTAGAGGCGTTTCAAGCTACTGGCAACTCAGTCAAGCCGCAGAAGGTTTTTCAGGGCATTCTAGATCCGTCTATAATGGTTTTTCCAGGAGGTAAGTTTATGCTTAATAAATGGGAATCGTTTCTTATTCTAATTTTGTATTCAACAGTACAGAACATGAGATTCGCTGTCCAATTGGATTACACGGGAAAAATTAAGGCCAAGAAAAATGTGAGCATAGTGAGTAATAAGAGTTTGGAGCGTCAAAAGCTATTGCCGACGTTCGCCATCATAAAGTTGTGCCTGCTGGCGCCGATTAGTGAGATCTACAAGGAGCTAAAGGTGTTCCGCGACAGCTTTATCCGTCAGAATCGACTGCTCTTCTGTGATCGTCCGTATACTGCTCAAAACAAGTTAACTCTTGCTGAAATCCAAACGGAAGCCTATGCCCGGTTTGACAAGTTTATTCGGGACTGCATTACCTTCATCATCGACAAGAAAGTGATGAAAGTCGAGGATAAAAAGCAGCACTTTTGCTGTGCTGTGCAGAACCTGACAAACATCCTATTGAAGTTGGTGGGCAGTGTTTTCAATACAAGGACTCCAACATCTACAAGCACAGAATTTGCGGTTAGTAGGTAATTTTCATTCTTAACTTGCTTCTTACCTGATTTCCATACTTACAGAATCTCTGCGTATTTGCCTATAATGATTTGGAACCCCGGATTCATTCAATAGTGGAGAAGATGGAGAACGAGGGCTTCGAGAACTATGCGGTCCATAAGCAAATCCAAATAGAGCGAATCATCGACTACTTGAACACCATTAAACTGCTCTACTTAGTGAGAGATGATAGCCTTGCTAATCTTTTGCTTGAGAAGGTCAGTTCTTGATTCACAACTTGCAATTGTAGGAAGTGTGATTCATTAGTTAGCCGCTACTACAAGTGACCAATACTTTACTTAGTAACTTTGTTTATAAAAAACTAAGCTGCAGGCTTTCACAGTTCGATAAAAAGTTGAGTAATTTTTGTGGTTTTCTTAGTAATTGACGTCTACTTTTTCTATAAAATTTTACCATTCATAGTCATTTAGCTAAATTTATACATCATTTTCTACAAAAGGAAGTTAACTTTAAAATCAACAACGATCTTAACATCTGTAAAATTTAGCAACTTCAAACTTATTTACAGACATTGACAATTAAAGTATCAACTGGATTTTTGTTAAAACATTTCATTTGCTTGTTATAAACGGAAATGAATAAGGTTTCCGCCAAACCTGTGAATGATTCACATAAATCGTACGCTAATTTGATTAGATTGTAAATAATGAATAACTTCCAGAATTCACCTGTAATTTTCCGGTAGTATATCAGTTATGAATGAACAAAATTCGGAAGTAAAAAATTAATCATTATGATTATTAGGGTATGTTATCTAATTGTTAAATTTGTCAGCGGCATAACTGGATCAAAACCGGGTAATGGGTTCCAAAATAACCTTCCGAACTCAAAAGAAAATTAAGAAAAGATCTACAAAATTGTATAATTTTGACTTATTTTTTATTTTTAGGCTTTCACAGAGTTTCCTGGAGACGAACGCTTTTGGTTCTTCATGCTTATCTCGTATATGGAACGCCGTGAACTTGACAAGGCAAAGTTGTTCTTCATAAATAATAAAGTGGCAAGCATCCATGAATATTTTGCGTAAGTAGTTAAATATATAAAGACACTATCTCATCAAACTGATATCCCAGAGGCTGGATTAAATTGTACATCAACTATATGGACTCTCGAAACAATCCGGAGACCGCGGCCGATTGCACAGAGTGTCTTTTGAAGAGCATTACGAACTATGCTGAGCGAAATCCCCGACACCAGGATGCATGGATCCTATTGTATTGCTACTACAAGCGATTTAAATATGAGCCTGGCTGTGCCTTTGCCCTCTGGAGATTTGCGGATCAGAATAGTCACAACCGTAGCAGTTCGACATCCAATTCTCCACACAGCGTTTGGGGTCTTTTATTAACCCTGAATATAAACTTTGCAACGAGTCGAGGGACATTGTTCTTTGAGGTTTTTAGGATCTTTGTGCGCCTGGGTCTCTACGAATTTGCCCAGGTTGTCTTTGCCACCGTAGAGCATCTGGTCAGTGATGCGGATCGATATATGATCAATACGCAGTTGGCCCTAACGCTTGGTCAACTGCCTGATGACTATGAGCTACAGAGTTTTGAATTTGGGGAAGGGGAGGAAGCTGATTATTCAGTGGGTTTTCAATGTTCTCTTTTTAAAAAATAGGGTTAAATTACTTACATTTTATCACAGGCCACTATGAATGCCCAGCTCAATGGTAATGTGCAGTTCAATCGTGGCAATCTGGAGGAGGCAGCGTTATATTACGAATGCTGCTTGGCGTTGCCGCCTATCGGTGATTATGAACGCGATTGCTTCGAGGTCAGCAGATTACGCTTGGGATACTTATCATATGCACTGGGCAACTATGAGAAGTGCATAGAAGCTCTTAGCATACCATTTGCCGGAAATCTCCTTGTCCTTGTGGCCAACTACATGATTGGCAAATCATACTATAAGTTAAACAACTTGGATATGGCTCTTAAATACTTTGCGAAATCAACCCAGCTGGAGACCCATGTGCCCAACATTTGGGGATTTCTGGCATTGATTAACCTAAAACTAGGCGAAAACTATAAGGCAATCGAATGTTGGAAGTACGCCAAAATAGTAAGCGTACTACAAATCTTTTAATAGTTCATTAATAATTTGTCTTCTCCTGTTTTAGGAGCCCCACTATTCCATTGATGATGTGATGATCTATGAGGAGTTGGATGCCATTGACTATGACACCGTTGAGTTATACATTGATTCTCCAAATCTGTTAGGAGAGGACCTCTTCCGGGAATCACAGTCAGACATCTAATTTGTATATTTTGTGTGTGTTTTTCGCTGTGAATTCGAATTCATAAAGACCACCATGCTCACTACTCTGCTCTATTCATAATGGGTTCATCTGGGGCAGCACCAGATGAAAGTGAAACTGTGGGGTCCGTGGTTGGCTCCATCTCTTGGTTATGTTTTTTTTTTTCACCGAGGCTCATTTGTTGCTGTTTAGCTGGCGTGACTTGTTGACACAAGGTAATGAGACGGGGCAACAGCAATTTGCTTACATAAGACAGATAGTCCGTCCACCAAGCACACAAATACATACACCAGTGGCATGTCCTGGCTTTTTATAGAACCCATTTGAGGTTTAAAAACCTATGCTGCAGTCTGCATCGAAACATGGCCCATGGAGGTGGCATCTGCTCAACGGCTGTGCTGGAGGAGAAACCAGCGGCATGTGTGGCTAGCAGCACAGCCTTGGCTATTAGGAACTCCACGATAATCGCCCATCGGTTGTCCATTTATCTGCCCCAATTACTTCTACCCTCAAGGGATCCCCAAAAGGTAGTTCAAAAAGTTCCACTTTTATTATGAAATTACTTGTTTTCTTTTTCAGCTTATTACTGAAATTAACTGTCATGTGGCCCAGTTCCGAGAGTTGCTCATCTTTATAGGTCAGGCTCGGGATTCCCCAGAGCTACGTGAGAAGATTAGAAAGCTGAGGCGGAATTGCGTGGATGCCTGCAAGCATACAGCTCATTTGATTACTCCCCAACCGCGACACTGCTTAGGCAGTCCCAGTGAAAGGATGCACTTGACCCTGCTCTTTCATCTTACCCAGCAATTTCAACATGAACTTATCAAGAGTCATCGCCTGATCCAACTGGTACCCTTGGACATGACGGAGTACTATGGTTAGGCGCATATTTATGTATATCTGAAGGGACTTAAATTGTTTCTATTCCTTCCCAGCACCTTCCCGCACTGCTCCTTCCAATCTGGGCAACGTCATTAGTCAGTTCTTGTTGTGCAAGCAAATTAATCCTGATTTTCAGCAGGAGGAACTATGCAGCATAGTCAAGGACTCTCAAGAGCTGACTGAACTTTTGGAAGAGCTGCAAGCTCACATGCCCTTGGCAGAGGCATCTCCAGAATCTGACCTGGATCCAGCACAGAAATGTAAGTTATTTTCAGTTAATTTTTTGCAAAATTATAAAATTATCGATCCCTTTAGCTGAGAGTAGCCTTGTTTCCCTCAACACCCCGGCTTGGTATGCCAGACAACGTAGACGGAGTTGCAAAAGCCGCAGCCGTAGTCTTTGCTGCTGTCTGGCCAAAAACCAAAACAAAACTTATTAATGAAAGTACCTTTGGGAGGTTTTCAACTTGATCACAGATTACCAGTTCTTAGTATTTTATAATTTGTATAGTTGGTAGATCTCATGTAAAGGAAGTGAAAAACTTTGGAAGATAGAGCCCCATTATCAGCTAGGAAATAGTGATTTAACATCCACAAACAAGTCACTAAATCTATAATTACTGCAATGCTCAATGATAGCGGAACAACTTTGAGAAACGATAAAATGTGTTCCCAGAAATGATAATAACCGTAATATCGGAAATGTGGGACATCAAAGAGTCACCAGGTAATAACCGTAATGAAAGCGATTAAAAGAAATACAAACCAAAAATACAAATCGAATGTTGGTTTTTTCTCGTTTCGTGGAATCCCAAAAAAAAAAACAATGATGAAATCCGAAATCTGTGTCTCTTATATGGACAAAGGGTGATAAATTCACTGAAAGCAGGTGAAATCCCACTTTACAGCGACAAAGAAAGATGTCACATTTATTGGCGAGAATCCCAGAAGCCTCAGAAGTGTTTACCTACCACTTAGTAAAGCAGGTGATGTTGGCTTTGGAGCGGCGTCGCCCACCTGGTAACCATAAATGCTGATTAGATTCCGGCTTACACCGCGTGCCTCTCGTCATTGGACAATGGCAACCAGATTGAGCAGAGCCCGATTCCGTGACTCGCTGATAATACAACTTGACAACAGGGAATTCTCGAATTAATTAGAATACATTTGTTTTGATTTTTGCATAGTTTAGGTATTTAATTTTAAAAATATGCCTTTGTCTTTTACAAAACATATCTCTACATTAAAAATATATATATTTATATATGTATATATTGTATGCAGATTTATATGGTATATAATATATATATATTTAGGTGTATATATTTAGGTATAAACTTCTACATGTCATATGGATTTTCACAGAAAATCTTCAACTTTTTGAGTAATGCTTTTTAATTGTTTCCTTGTGCGTGTTCTTATATCCTTAAATTTTCATCTCATTTACTTTCTCGCGCTTTCGCTTTCCCCTTTGGAGAGACTGTTCAATCCTGTAGTTACTTTGTTGAGCATTATGCAATTTGGAAGATTCTTTGTTACGCTCACTGAGCCCACCGATTAGCACCATCATAGCTAACTTTGATCTGTGCCAACGGAACTCCTCGCTTCTAACAAGCTTTGACACAAGGCAAAAAGCAACAACAACTAACTAACTAATTGTTAACAACAATCTCTACACGATTACACCGTCTGTTTGGTAAATGTACTTGTGTTTGTGTGTGTTATACAAAAATGATCATCATCAATCGCTATAGCTATAGTTAGACATTTGCTACATCATTATAAATTCACTATTTGTTCACGATTCTTTCTGGCTAATATCACCGTTATCACTGCAATGCCTAAACTCGGCTTAAGTCTAAGCAGAAAGAAGTCTTTTCCTGGATAGAACAGGTCATGTGTGCAAACAAAATGATGGTGGTGCCATTAAAAAGTAAACAAAGGTGGTACTAACTTAGCTGCTAAACATTTCGCAGAGTCACAACACAACAAACGAAACGAAAACGAAACCGGTGAAATCATAAAACAAAAGAAAAGTAAATTTGTGCAAAAAAAAAAAAAAAAAAAAAAAATTAAGACTCAACGCTGCACAACAATAAAAACTAACAACTTAAAAGCTTAGTAATTAGGCCCTAAATTACGGGTGAGACTGTGTGTTTTTTTGTGTAGAGGAGGTGAAGCTGTTTCTGCTATAGCTATCTGCTATATGATATCTTCTATCTGCTATCCGGATGAATGGCTGAGTGTGTGGGGGTGTGGCTGATGTGGAGGCGTGTTTGCAGTCTGGCTGTCGAAGGAACTGTTGGGCAGACCTCGCTCTAGATGCGTCCGCTTTTGCTAGCCGATGACGTCGACAGCTGTTCCAGACGAGAGCAAAGCTCCTGGGCCAAACGCAGTTGATTCGCAGCGGCAGCGGCACATGAGGTGGCAGCTCCACCGGCACCTCCAACGGGTAACTGTACTCCAGCCACAACTTCCGGATAACTGATGCACACGCCCACCCAACGGGCTTGACTGCAGGCATGAGACTGTAAGGAAAACGAAAAGGAAATGTTTAGTTTGGTAAACAAAAATAAATTCACTTTAATTTGTATAACTCGAACATGTTATTAATATTTGATTTAAGAGCGAAACGTAATGCGTAATACTTTTTGATTCTTGAGAAAAAAAAAAACTAAAAACATTTGTTTAAACAATCTATGAATTTTTAAGAAAAAACCTCAATGTTAGTTCTGCGCATTCAATGCTTATTTGTGTTGACTTATCGAAAAAATGTTGAGGTGTCAACCAATGCTGTTATGTATATTAACTTTTCTCAATTATAATCGTTTCCATTTTTTTGTATTCGCAAAAAATTAGTATCCATCAAAATGGGATTAATAAAAGTGACTTGGCAAGGCAAACTCTTCATTTCAGATAAAGAATTTTTGAGTTATGACGTTCAATAAATCCAGGAAATTTGGCTTTTTGTTCGAGTTATGGAAAATCTGATAAGAGGGGTTTATTCCACTCAAAGATTTCAACTCACCATGGCGAAATCACGTTTCCATTGGACACCGCACTGGCCGTCACAAAGGGGACAGGGACGCTCCAGGCTGTAACCACCGCATTCGCTGCAATCGAGGGACACATGATCATCGGTCCAGGAAACGCCGCAGGTGAAGCAGGAGCCCATATGCTGGCGCAGCTCCTCGATGGTCAACACGTTGTCCATGCTGATCTCTAGGGGACTACCAACTAGATCTGGCAACGACGCAGACAAACCCAGATTGTGATGCCTGCAAGAGATTAAAGCGGGGAATTCTTGATTAGTAATCATGACAAATTGTGGCTGGCGTCGGGCAACCGTGACCTTGCCAAGTGGGTGGCGGTAAACGCTAGCGTGATTATGATAATAAGCAGCGTGCCGGTACGCAAAGCGGAATGGGATTTTGGGATGGTTGATGTGGGAATGGGAACGGGGACGGGACGAGGGCAATGATTGGCGACTGTACCCGACTCTACGGCGCGACTTTCCCCCGATCATGTGAGCGACGGCGACGGGCTTTTGTTGCTTTTGTATGGCCCCAAAATGCGAAATGATAATGATACGAATGTTAATATATATTTATATATATATATATATATTTATGGCTGTATACAAACACAGGCACTGACGCCGAACTGTTGAGCTCTGAAGGTGCTGGCCCCTTTCATTAATGGGCCAAAGTCGTGGCCAAATTGCAGGTGTGGTTTTCAAACTTATTCAATTGTATTGTATTGTATTGAGTGGTATTGTGACTGTGTACTCTGTACCCTGTCCCAGTCGCCATTCGCCGTCCGATAAGATTGCTAAAATCATGAATGAGCCACCAATTCACGCCCCTTTCGTACCCCCCTAAATCAACCCTGACATTGTTTACAGCGATATTTAGCAAATGCGAATGCGTAAAACGGAAATGGAAGCGAATCGCTGTTTCCAGCTAAAATGAATCACAATGTGCTCGAGAGATCTATAGATTGGGCATCTAAATTTAAATACTTACGACAAGGGACTGCAGATGTCGGCGATTTGGGGACCGTGAACACTGGCGATCGACATATTGGCTGTTGATGGCACTGCAAAAGGAAAAGATGAAAGGAAAACAAAAAGTCAGTTAAAGTTCATCAAATGTAACAAGGTGAGTTCAATACTGGCCAGGTAAACGCTCGCTGGCGAAGGTAAACGAGCTTGTTGTACAGGTGCGTGACTCAAATGTCAGAGCTCGACTGTACCAAGTTTAGCTTCTGGACTGAAGCAGATCATTCAAATTCATATATGATTTTCCGCAGCAACTCGAACGACATTCTTGGCTAAAATTAACAACTATTCGTGGGGGAAACTGAAGGTGGAGTGCGGTTCACAAGTCCACAACCGCTGAAATCCGGTTGAAAGCACCATAAGCACGCCGAGGCCGCCGATCTCAGTGATCAATGCGTCATCTTTGTGTAGTTTCAATTGTTTTGGGCTTGGACAATTAAAAAACTTTAATGTGCGAATTATTCGGAATTGGAAGCGGATCGTTAATTGCCAGTGCTTGTGTCTCAAATGGGGGAATACTGTCTATAGGCTATACTATACTAAACATATACTAAACGAACTGTGTGTCGTCTACAATGTCTCCACGATTTTGGCAAAGATGCAAAAATCTTTTTGGCGAGGCACATGACTGCCACAGCGTCTGCTGGCCTGGCATCATAATAAATAAATAAACACATTTTCTGCGTTGTTATGCGGCCAGTCGTTGGATATTCTATATTTAGCTGGATTGTATCGAGAAAGTATAATCATGAGACGTGCCCAAAATAAACCGCCAATAACATGGGATAGTCTGGGCAACGGTTTGAGAAATCGCTTGACTGGTTGCATTTCGGTTTGAGCCTCGACTATGAGGGGCAATTTTTCAGTTGCTGAAACGGCAACGACAACGGCGCAAAAACGAAATTGCTGTAATTTATCCGAGCATATTGTGCCTCACACACAACTAGTTGCATTTAATTTGATTTTATTTATTTATAGAAGGGCACACACACAGTCGCACACAAAATCGGAGGGACACAGACGGGGCGCTAAACTTTTTTTTTATTTAAGTTATTTCAGGCACGGAAATACTTACATTTGTTGTGTTATTTACAGCAACGACTGTTGTTTTGTGTTTTTTCAGCGCTATTAATAAATCCAAATTGGGATTTCTGTGCTGTTTTATTTGATTTGTTTTGGTTGTTGTAGTTGGTTTTTTTTGTTGCAGTATTGGTAATTGTAGTTGGCCTTGCGTAAGCCAGACAATCAAATTACTTTTTTTTTAATAATTGCCTCGATATTAACATTAACCGTTGGCAATTTTGTATTGTTTGTAACTTTTCACACGCGATGCGAGACAGTTAGCTCATGAAAATGCAATTGGCAATCATAAACATATATATTTGAATGCAGTTGTTTGACAGAGACTGCAGCGCACTTTTATAGTTGGACTGGGAAACGAAACTGAACTGAGTAGCTGGGAATTAGATTGCTTTTAACCAGATTCGAATAGTTTTCTCCAGAGCCGAAAGACCAAGTGGGCAAGCACGTCGAACCGCGAAACTCAAATGAACGTCGCTCGCTGAATCGGTGCCGCTTTTATAGGCGATTCGAGTGGCGAGAGAGCCGACAACAGCTAGAAGAGAGACCGAAACGAGCGAGTGATATTGCTCGAATCGGATGACAAAGCAAAGCTAACGAACTGAACTTGCCAACCATACAAGCACACACTTACGAATTAAAATGAAAACAAAAAAAATCAGTCGAGTGCCGTGCAAAACTCGTAATAAACATTAATGGGGGGCAAATCACAAGCGAAATGCCAAAACAAAGTCAGATGCTGACCAAATTAGCGGTAGTTGGCAACAGGAGCGGCTCTCGCGGAGAGATAAAAAGAGTAAGAGATAACAAACCAAAACAAATCAAAAAGTAGCGAGTGTTTCGACTAGGATATACCCGGTACTCGGTGACTTACTAAGTATATAGCCTATCTTGACGGGCGTAATTGTGTTGTGAAAATCTTTAAAAGTGATAAAGATATTGATTTAACTCATATAGCTACTAATCACCCATCAATACTCGGGAAACCCTAATCAATAATTTAGTGTGCAAAAGTAGGACATACCCTTTCAACTTTATAAGTAAGAGGTATCTATATAGGTAGCGAGAATGAGAGAGAACGAGCACATTTAACGGTCAAACACAGCAGGCGGGCACCCTTACACCCATACCTACATGCATATACCGATACCCTTACCGATATCTCCTCCATACGCCCCATCTGCTGCACAGTACGTATACGACACATTGACCGGACGGACACTAGTACAACGACTAGGTGTAATCGCCTGCCGGTTATTGACGCATGTCCAAGAAGACGGCAAAACAAGATGCCCCCTGGCAACCGTCAGAAGAATCGACGGACGCGTTGTTTCATTTGAATAACAAATCACTTTGCGCTATGACAGGTAGAGCGCCGGGCAAGGACAGGGACGGTTACGGGTTCGGGTTCGGATTTGGGTTCGGGTCCGTGTCCGTGAAAGCAGCAGGTGAAAAACACGACTGAATGGCTCAGGAAATCAAAGGACAAGGGGACAGAAGAAGGTAGCCGGAAGGTGCGATCCACAGAATGGGCCAGGTAGAGAGCACATCCTTAATGACTAGATCCGCAAAAGTATCAACGGAAAATTCCATCAGGGCTGTTTTCCCCATAATTACTTTGATCTGATCTGTCAAAAATGTGTTTGTAAAATGTTTTTGCAAAATGTCAATGCAACGTTATTCGTTTGTTTAAATATATAACTCTTATAGTTGATCAAAGTTGACTGAGTTATCTTCTACATTATATCATATCTAGTGATCTTATAAAATTTTAGTTATCTCAAAATGACATGATATCATGCTGAAAGTATTATTCTTTCTCTGTAGTTATTTCCCCATCATAAATATACATAAACGTTGGCGTTTTTCGCTTATCAATCTACTGGCAATCTTATCAGCAAATTCCCCCACCCCCACCCTACTCAGTTTTTTTTGCAATGCGCGTGTCTCTGCAGCAAATTGTAAAAAAAAAAAAAATAAAGTGTAATGGTGAAACCCATTGGGTATGTATAATATGAAGACGAGGTGACTCCCGGGGCTGTCATCCCGCCGGAATGGAAATTTTCGCTAGCGTTAGCATGTTAATAGGGAAAAAAGTTGCCAAAGTGCAGCTAGACCGAGCTTAACTTATGCATATGAACCGAGATACAAGACGCGCGCGCGTCGCTTGAAAGGCGTTTCGAATTTCGCCAGCCCAACGAAAAGGGAGCACCCCGACCGGCCAAAGCCAGAAAGTCAAAAATCCAAAACCACATTTGACGAACCACAACCAAAGCCAAATCCAAGCGACCCTCGCCAAATTAATGCAATTCAGCACCAGAGGCGACGGTCAACACATTTGTACATATACTTGGGAAGAACATATAGTATAAACAATTAATGTTTATTTAGAAAGCAAGAACGAAACCCTCGCAAAACTGGGCACGCTTTTCACTGGCATTCAACTTTTGTCGAGGCGCAGTTTCGTACTTTTGTGCACGGGGAGAAATCTGGAAAATTTCTCTATATGAAAAATGTATTTTGTAAATTGAAGTTTCTATATATAAATATAATGATGAGGATATTTTAGAGTGCAAAACAAAACACTCAAATTACCCACATTCAATAAACGAATGCGTAAAAAATATATTTTGATGACTTTTATGGTTTTTGTTATATTAAATTGTATAATATTGGGTAATTGCATAATGACCCCGATCATTTTCCGGCACTTTAATTTTAAAGTGTGAAGATGGAATCGGGGGACCATTGTCATCGGAGAAGGTCACACGGCAATTTGCCTGAGAAGCTCCGCACACAAAAGAGACAGTCTCACCTCAGCGGAAATTGCGTCAGACAACGTGAGGATATTAGTCCGAAAATAACAATATTTAAACAATATTTTGCAAACCTTTTAAAAACTTATTAAGTGCCCCCGCACACATGCGTGTGTATTTTTATACTCTTCCACAAAAGCCAATCCAATTCCAAATTCGTTGATATCGTTTTCCTGCTAAATACATATCCAGCCCTTTGTCCAGATTTAATGTTTTCAGAATTATATGAGTTTATGTTTATAAACAAATGAATTTCACAAACCACCGGATCTGGGGTAACAATAGTATATAAAGTTTTTTTTTCTATCTTATCGCTTGATTTATACGTCGGCAAAAGGTGCTATAGATTGAATATCGTAAATATAGGTTTATAGGGGGCTATTATTAAAATATTTATTATTTGTTATTTTTAAACAAATGTTATTTGACGCACCACTTAGATTACATATATTTCTCTATGAAAAACCCTTTGCTTCTGTTGTTGTTTTTCTAAATAAAAATCTGTTTATTATTTCTTTTAGTTGATAAATTCTAAAGGCAAACCACAATCTTTTTAATATGCTTTCTGTTTGCAATATTTGTAACTTCATTAAATTGATAAATTATCTAACTTGTCAAGGGCTCGTGTCGATAGCTAAACTTAAATTTAGAAGGTATAAACTGCACACTTAACTATCGTTCAGCTACCCTTAGGGAAATAAATTAGTTCTATGATAAGTTTAAGTGTTTTTAAGCCTAAAGATGTAAGAATTCATAGTCTAAAAATAAGTTCTAAGCGACATTAATTTGTCTTAAAAAATAAACCATTTTAGAAAACCTTTTTAGAGCTATATCAAGAATATAGCTAAGTAACTATTTTACCCTTCCTGTTGTCATCAAAACCCCGTATTTACCCAGCTTGAACAGAGAGTATTGCAATTTCACTTATGCCATAGAGCTGTAGTTGGTGTTTGCCAAGATAAACCCCCTTGGAAATATGCATAACCATCGTGCTCAAGTGCTGCTTGAAGACATGCGCTTCCTCTTTTGAATTTGGCCTGGCTGGCTGGTGGCGGCGAGTCTTTAACTCTCTGGTTGGAGCTCTGTTTTGAGCAACTTGCTCCGCAGCTAAGCAAACAAAGCTGCTCCTGAAAGTAGCTGTTAATTATTGTTATGGATGGATGTTGTGACTGGTGTGTAAATATACAGCACACATGCGGATGGATCCGTCACAGCCAAATGCAAAAACAAAGGCGGCCGGCCACGGCTTGACGTCAATTGCAAAGGGGAAGAATCAGGAACCCAACCCAAAAAGATAATAACAGAAGCAACAGTTCAGGGGCAGAAGAAGACAAGCTTTGTTTTGTTTCTCTTCTTGTTAATTAATTATTGATATTGAAAAAAGATGATGATGATTTGGAGTTCGATGGTGGGCGGCTGATTCATTAGACTGGTGGGGAAATCTACGACGACTCTTTTTTGGCCAGTCACAACCACACGTCGCCGATCGTTAAATTCATCTTCGGTCAAAGCTTCGCTTCTACCATCATCACATGCTGATGCTAATGAGTTCGCTTGAATGCGACAAACCCGTTCCACGGGATTCCCTCGCCCAGAGATTCGATTCCGAGTGTAAACAAACCGAAATCGGAATTCCACCGTGCTGGATGTACTATGAAAACCGTTTACTTAATTAATGGGGGAAAAGTACCAATATTCGAATATAGTGGTAAACTGCCAAAATGAGTCGTGTGACTCTGTCTGGGCATAATCCAACGAAAGTGGCTATTGGTTCTATAATCACAGGCTAGATAAGTGCACTTAGTATTCGACGACTTTAACCCCTTTAACACCCCGCTAACGACCCAACGTCGATCGGAAAGATTTACGAGCCCATCACGCCGCCAGACGAAACTGTTGACAAGGGCAATTAGAATGCCGTCGAACGACCCTGACCTTTGGCCCCCTTGGGGTAAACTAATTTCCATGGGTTTTGTAAGTCTTCCACGTAATTAATTTGCATACCGTGCCAGATAAAACGATCTCGCCAATGAGAAATGGGAAAACCTCCTATAAATAGGTCTATGACATGTTATCTCACGGCGTCATTGCATGTTTACCAATATATATATATATATATAGATCTCGTTACTCTAGATCGGCAAACTGGCTGATGACTGATACTGTATGGTTACGAAGTCATTGCGACCCTGTCCATGACTGAAAACCCCAAGAAGGTGGGTCTCATTGAGCTCTGGTTTACTTGACCCTGGCCCTGGGAATGTGTAATTCACCTGAAGAAATGGAGCTGCATTCCTCAATGGATTTTACGATGAGTTATTACTTGAATATTTCTACTACTTCAATTTGTACATTAGGGTCTACTCAACCTGTATAGTCACTAGGTGCTTTTATCTTGATATATAAAAGGATCGTGATGTTTCACAACTATAATATCATTTATATTAGGAAAACGTATTTCCTATAAACATTTGTATAAATAGAACGTGTTCTATTCAGGTTTAATGACGACTCTTTAATATTTATAGATCTCGTTTCTTTTTGTCTGAACGCCTCACGATTATATATACGACTTGTACATAACCTTCAGTAAACCTGACTGCAATGATGGGTGATAAAATCCTAAAGCTGATTAGATCAAAAGGAAAATACGTAAGGTA